GGCCGGGCTTCAGCTTGGCCCTGGCGCAGGTCAGTGTTCCGGAGCAGGGCGGGGGCTCCGCCGCCCCTCGCCAGCCCTCGCCGGTGCCCCCGGTCCCGCTTTGCCCTCTGGAAGGAGCCTGGAGGGCTCTTCTCTGGCAGCTTCCGCATGCAGATGGCAGGGAAGGCTTTTGCATCATGCACAGAAAAACCATGCAGTTTTAAGTGAGGCTGCCTAGTTTTAGAAGCCCATAGAAAGGTATAAGCTGTACCACTGTCACACTCGCTTTACGGAGTCCTGCTTCAAAAACCATCCTTAATGTGCAAGCTTTGACTAGGTTTTCAGCTATGCTGCATTTAGAGCTCTTGTGATTTCTTTAAATTGATGTGCTCCTGGTGTTGGGCTGTTTATGTGGGAGATCTGAAAAGCCATCTCTTTAACACAGGCTTCAGAGGGTTTCTTTCTCCATGCCCTTTGAGCCTGTAACATGTGGAAGATTCTCAGGAATTGGGATCACCAGTGAGATCTGACCTCCCCTTAGAAGCTGATAATACAGAAGAGCCTGTGTTCTTCCCACTCAGATCAGGGACTTGTCCATGCTGAAAAGCTTCACTGCTGCTGTTACAGGGCCATGCAGTTGCAGCAAAATGTTCTTGTTATTAATCCTACTATGTCATGTACAAGGGAAAAAAAAAGTAGGAATATGAGGACGTGTATTTCTGTCTACACTAGTTCCTATTCTGACACATCTCTTACTGATCTAGTTGTCTCTGTTCTGGCCTAATAAAGCAGTGCAACAACTGTTGAGCTCTTTTGGCTGAACTCAAGCTCCATAAAATGGAAGAACTGCAAACTGAGCTATTCTATCCATCTCCTCAGGTTTTGCAGGCTTTTGAGGAGATCCCTTTGTGCAGTGTCCTGGAACAGATAAAAGAAAAGCACAACTTGGAAAAAGTGAAGAAGGTGAGTTGGCTCAGAGCAGCATTGCCAAGAGCTAGTTTAATTTAACTGTTCTCAGTTCTTTGAAGCTTTGGTGTCTGGATATTTAGGTTTGGGATTCTGGCTAAAATAAATGACTATAGTGAAATAATGGAAACATTTCTGAAAGCTGGATGTTGGTGACATTGTCATCTGGTCCTGTTTTAGCTGAGATTTCCCTGTGTGATGGAAAGCTAATCCAGGCCTGCTCTAAAACATTGCTCCTCAGTATGTTGTCTTCATGGGGCAGGGTGTTCAGGGTTGGATCTTCCACCCAGCTTGTTCCACTGGTCGGAGCTGTAGCTGAATGTAAAATCTTAACTGCTCAGGGAAGTGGAATTATAATCCCCCACCTTTTTTTTTCCTCCCCTTTTCAGAAACTTGTGAGAAATGCTGCTTTTGGAAACTTTTTTGGAGTTATGGCTCTGTTTCAGTCTGGCCGGCTTGTTAAGGTAAGGCTGCTGCTGTTCTGGGGTTGGTCAGTGCTGGTTCTAGGGCTGTCTGAAGTGGGGAGGGGGTCTAGAGGGGAGGGCTGGCTCACTGGCTAGCCAATGAGATGGGACTTGGAGCATCAAGTTCAGTTCATTTCTTTTGCATTATCCGTGGACTTTTTGTGCCTTTTAAATCTCTGTTCCTCACTGGAGTGTAGGAACACTCCAGACAGTACTGGAGGTATGTCAGACAGTACAGGAGGCTCCTGTCTCTCCTGGAAGGAAGGGATCTGTGGTCATATACAGCTGGAAAAGACCATTTTTTGGGGAAGCTGAGTGGCCTGTCAGGAAGCATTTGTGGGAGTTTCTTATTACAAGTAGGCGTAAGGGTCTCAAGTGTGGATTATTACCTGAGCCTTCAGCTTAATCTTTGATATATGTCCTCTTGTTTTGGCTTCTCTCCTTTCTAGGACCAGAAAGCTCTTCTGGAGAGCATCCAGCTTCTCCAGCAGCTGGCACATCACCAAGCACACCTCAGAGATCTCCCTCGCAAAACTCTGGTTGACATCATGTCTGAGGTGTGGTGGGTGGCAGGAGGGAGGACTCTGCTTCAGGGACTGCTTTTCCCTCAGTTTGTTCATGGTTGGAAGTTGAAGGGGGTGTGTGTGGCAGAGTGAGTTTGAACTGGGGGAGCTTCTTTTCCCAGGTGCTTTTATTCTGGGAAGGATGCTCTGATTTAGCTGGGTCTGATTTGATCCTGGACAAACCCACAGCCTGGTTTCTCCTGGTTGACTTGCTTGTGTGGAACATTAGACCCTTTGCTTTTTTAAATAGAAGTATGCTGAAAACTCTGGACCTTCTTTTTTATGCACCAAGCCAGGGCCTAGGGTTGAATTTTGGGCTGTTGGCAGTGAAACGATGTGGGGACATAGAGTGAAGGAACTCTGAGTATGTAGTGAAAGAAGAGAGTTTGTTTATTTCCTTCTTTTATGTGGATATTGTTTGTAGATCTGAATACTAAGAGTGTAAAATCAGAATGAAGTAGTGTTTTGCATGGTATTGTTCTGGGCCATTTAGTTGATGTTAGGTTTAAATGATTTTGAAAAAATACAAATTAAAACCATTTTTTTTCTTTTTTTATTTTACTGATGAAAACGTTGGATCCAGTTCTATCTAAAAACATTGAATACAACTGTTTACCAGCAAATCTTATCAAAACAAGTAACTTATTTTGGGGAAATATGATTAAAAGCTAATAGAAGAGTGTTTCCTCCTCCCTGGGCTGCAGTCAGATAGCTAGAGAACAATTGCAGCTGGAGTCAGTTGTCCAGAATTGCTGTCTGATGACAACATTGTCCTGCTCCACATGGTGAAGCACCTGGGGACTGTGTGGCTGTACTGAACACATCCATTATTGATTTTTGGTTGTATCACCATAAAGACTAATTCTGAAATTTCCAGAACTCTGCAAGCTTTCAGTAAAGTGCCCAACAATTCAGATATTTGAATATACTACACAGCAAGTTAGTAACACACCCTTGGATGTTTCTCATATGCTCTTATCTTTATCCCTCAAGGTTCCTGAAGCTGTGTTTGAGGAGGTCCTGTTTGGCATCTTGCAAGGTGACCTGGCTTCAGCCTTTGCATCTCCAGAGAACCTGCACCTTTTGCTTGTGGGCATACAGAAATTCCCTGGTGTTCTGAAACCTAAAAATCTGAAGAAGCTGTTTGGCTCACCTACTGTTGTAAATGAGAAAAATATTCCCAGGTAATTTCTTAGATAAGGAGCATTAAATAAAACATTCTCCATCTCTTGGCTAACAGCTTTTGTTTTGATACCTGCCTGTATTTGCCACTGCAGGTGCTGTTAAGGGTTAGGCACTGACTGTTACACAGATTCCTAAATTATAGCCCTGGCATTTCTCCCAAGAGGCACAGCCTGCAGTGCTCAGGACATGTTCTGTCTCCTTC